CCCCTCCTATTTTATAGATGATGAATTGCATCTTGAATTCCCATAGTTTGTATGACTGATCTCTGAGCTAAACTGCTTGGATCCTCCCAAAAAAATTTTGGAAGATTCACATACATGCCACTCAATTCTTATGTATTTACAAATCTAATACCTAAACTTCAATTTTTACAAATACGCCACCCTACCTATGCATGAAAAGGACTTTTTCAGTTTTTAAAAATTCAAGTAGTGGTGGTATTTTTGATGTGATATGAAAGAATTGGGTGGTATCAAGGTAAAAAGCAAAAATTAGGTGTTAGATATGTAAATACATAGGAATTGAGTGGTATGTATTTAAATTCCACTAATATTTAGATCTTTCAAGCACATTTTAACCTCCATGTGACTTAACAACTGAAGCATACATTCTTTACATGCTACATATTTCTACAAATAGGTGTACACATGTAATGCTTGTGAACATAAAATAGTATCTTTGCAGAAATGGAAAAACTCTTACGCAACAATGTAAGTGTTAAATACATTGATGAGTAAATAAATGAGAATCAGGATGCCTTTTCATAGGCATACGTGAATACAGTGGAGAAAAACAGGTAAACTTAGAAGAAGATGCAAAGAAGAGAGCAAAACAGAAAAACCTGATAGGAATTCCTTAATTCACCATAGGAAAACAGTCCGCACATACCTTCAGGTAAGAAGGAGAGGGTTAATTACCTCACGTAGCCTTATATTATACCTCATAAGTAAAATATGGTAACCTAGTCCACTTGCTTTATTACCCCACTTCAAGCTGATGGAGTTTGAAACAAACTTGAAGCGCGGATCGCAGAAATTTAAACTTCTTTTTTGGCAATGGTTTAGTGAAGATATCCGTCGGTTGATCTTGAGTATTGATGTAGTGGATTTGAAGAAGATTGGATTGTATTTGGTCTCGGATGAAGTGGTAGTCATTCTCAATGTGCTTGGTGAGAGTGCGGAATGCCGGATTAGTGGCAATGGCCATCGCCAAGAGATTGTCACACGAAATTTTCGTGAGATCCGGTTGTGGAGCTCCAAATTCCGCAAGGTGTCGTAGCCATAGGGTATCGAATGTCGTTGTTGCTAGCGCATGATAATCGCCTTCAGTGAGAGGAGCGAGCAACTTTATGTTGCTTTCTGACTACCCATGATATGGGGTGGTACCCAATAACGTACAATATTCTGTAGTCAATCGACGGTTTGTTGAATCGCCAACCCAATCAACGTCCGTAAAGATGTGAAGTGTGAGATCACCTGGTTTGATTATAATGTCATAGTCAAGGGTGCCATGTAGATACCTGAGTACCCTTTTCAGGAGTTGGTTGTGGTACATGGTTGGATGATGCATGTGTTCGCACTGAAGATTTACCACAAAAGAGATCTAGAAATGTGATGGTCAAATATTGGAGTGATCTGATAAGTTGGTGAAATTCGGTGGGAATTTCCATCAGGGTGAGTTAGGAGGGTTGCCTTTTCGCTTTCTTGGCAATGGCGTCGAAACAACTTTGCAACCGCGCATATCAAATTGGAGGAGTTGAGTGAGGTAGCTTTGTTGGTCTTAGAATAGAGAGTCATCTTACCGGGTAACATCGATGTTGAGGAACCGAGAGACGGGTCCATCTTGCTGATTTGGAAACCTTCGTTGATGAAGAAGGTAGAGATCTTTGCAAACCATTGTCTCGATGACTATTTAAGTCCATACAAAGCCTTTTTTAGTAAACATATGTGATTTGGGGATTGAGAATCAATATAGCCCGACATTTGTTTGATATAGATAGTTTCAAGTAGCAAGCCATGAAGGAATGTGTTCGAGACATTGACTTGTAGGATCATCCAGTTGCAATGGTAGACAACCATAAAGAGCACAATGACTTCATCTTAGCCATGGGTCTCATAGTAATTCACTCCATATTCTTGATTGCATCCTTGCGCAACAAGGCGGGCTTTATGCCTTGCCACGGTACCATATGAATTTTATTTAGTGCAGTAAGTCTATCGCATCCAAGGATCGGCTGATTCGGTGGAGGTGGAATCAACACCCACGTGCCTTGTGCTTGAAGAGCAAAGAACACCTTATTCAGAGCAGTTCTCCAGGGGGGTGTAGTGGGGTGTAGTGTTAGTTGAAGTCTACGGGTATAATGGAAGAGGTTGTGTGGTTGGTAGGGAGCGATATGGAAAAATATTTCATCAAAGGATACATGGCGAGAGATGAAGAGTTTGTCAAAGTTGGGTTGGTAGCACTTGTATCCCTTATGGTCGAGAGAGTATCCAAGGAAGATACACAGGTGAGAGCGGCGCTCTATTTTGTGTGGTGTTTGTGGCCGTAGCCATGGATCGCAAAGACGGACGAAAACTCTAAGGTGGGAGTAGTTAGGTGGATGGTTGTAGAGAAGTTTATAGGAAGATTTGGAGTAGGTGTTTTTAGAGGGCATTCTATTTATAAGATTGGATGTCATGAGCAATGTGCCAACCCAAAGTTTGAGAGGTAAAGAGGCGTCATGACAGAAAGTTCGTGTGGTTTCAATGAGATGCCTATGTTTTTGTTCGACCATCCCATTTTGTTAGACATGAGAATTGGTGGAGGATGTCATGATGGGTGAGAAAGTTGTGGATTTTATGATTCGTATAAGAGTATTAAATTGAGTGTGAAGCATTTTAATGAGATTAATACATTTATCAACAGTTTCATCTTTGCTTCGCATAGGAAACACCCAACAAAAGCGTGAAAAATCATCAATAAGAATTAATATTTATAGCCTTGAGTAGATACTATTGGGGTTGGATCCCATAGATCACAATGTAGTAAATATAAAGGAGCATGTGTATGTAAATAAGGAAATAAAAAAGGTTGTCTATGGCTTTTGTTGCAACTGCAACTATTACATATAGATGTATGTATTCCAATATCTAAGCTAGGATGACTATTGGACATAAGTTGAAGGACGTCTGAATGTGGATGTCCAAGACATTTGTGCCAGAGGATGGACTTCTTGGCGGTTGTGGCGAGAACATGAGTAGAATACGGGGAGAGGATTGGATAGAGACCGTCGGTACTGGTTCCCCGGAGCAGAGATAGCTTCATCTTCGGATCAACGATGGTAAAGTCATTCAGATCAAAAATAATAGCAACATTTTTATCATTGATTAGTTTGTGAACATATAATAGGTTATGAGAGAGGGAGGGAACGTGGCAGATTTGAGGTAGGAGAAGCTTATAGTGGGGCGTTGGAAGGATGTCGCCTCTAGTATGTGCTACGGGAATTGATTGTCTTTTACCCACAGTGACTTGTTCATGAGATTGAACGTGAGTGCTACAGGGATGTCGCCTCCAGTGGCGGAAGTTGCAAAGTGGAGATGATTGAGATTGAACGTGAGGTAGCACTCGAATCCAGTACCCAGGAGGAGGTTTTTGCTTGCAAGGCTTGTTTCATAGGTACATACTCCAAGTTTGACTGATGGCAACATGAGGTCGCCGAGTGTCCAAATTTGTTGCAGATCTAGCACATGACTGATGCTTTTGGTGTGTTTCGACCACCTTTGGTACAGTTTGGAACTGGAGCTCGACCACGACCACGAGATGGATATGATGGGCCTCTTGTTGCCGCAATTGCAAGATGACGTTGAGATGGGCAGTTGAGTTTTTGATTATCACTTGCAATATTGATCTCTCCACTACATAGAAGAGAGTAGAAATCAACGAGGTCGATGGGAATCAGTTGAGTCAGGATTGTCATCCTGAGACCTTGGTAGGTTGTCGGGAGTCCATTGAGTGCATAGAGACTTATATCTTCTGTATCCAGTTTTCCTCTTGCAGCGGTGATGTTGTCTACTAGGGCTCTGACACTTGATAGGTATTGTGTCATTGTTTGGTTGTTCATTGAGAGAGTATGAAAAGTATTCTTCAGCTATATGAGTCTCGAGCGGTTTGTTGGTTGCAATCGTTTCTCAGTAGTAGTGGAAAGATGCAGCACAAAGGGAAGGGTCGGTGTAGAAATGATAGAGTAAAGTACTGTTGTAAGGTTCTAATCTACTAAAATCCATGAGGTATATTGTGGACTGCAAACCTGTAGGCCAATCGAGGTTTCAATAATTTACGGTGGGCAAGGGAAGTTTCCATCTATAAACCCTAAGTACCCATTTGCGGTGAACACCTTCAGAACTTCAACCTTCCATATCATATAATTTTCAGCCGAGAGAGGATTTTGGGTAAGGTATTTGAGATTACTCATTAGAAATTTGAGAGAGGGTGGTATAGAAATTGGGGTATTCAGCTCCTTGTTGATGGATTGAAGTTTTCTGAGGTTTGTGAGGTATACATCCCCTTTGATGGTGTCCAATGGTGCTTGGATTGTAGATGTCGAACAATCCCTAACTGATAGCTGCCGATCGAGCAAAACCATAGATTGAGGGCTGTTTGGCGTAACTAACGATATATAGAGGAGAAGCTCAAATGGGCTTGAGGTTAATGCCCTGATACCATGAAGAAGATGCAAAGAGGAGAGCAAGAGAGAAAAACCTGAAAGGAATCCCTTAATTCACCAAGGAAAACAGTCCATGCGTACATTCAGGTAAGAAAGGGAGTGAAGCTTCTAGAGAGGGTTAATTACCTCACATACCCTTATATTGTACCTCATAAGTAAAATATAGTAACCTAGTCCACTTGCTTTATTAATCCGTTCTGTCAAAGTTCATAAAAGAGAGGATATGACCTTAAACATTGCAAACTGCTAAGAAGTAAAAATTTTAAGAGTTTACAAAAGTTAGGATTAAGTTGAACTCTGGATAAAATATAACAGGAATTTCCCATCATTTCCATGAAAAGCGTCGATGAAGTACAGCTACCATGTTTTAACCAATAAAGACATCACAAGTAACCTTTCCAAATCATAGACGGGTGAAAAATCAGCAAAGAATAACCCTATCCGCCACTAGTAAAGCACAAAGAAATAATTGCTCAGATGCAGAATATAGAGCATGTTGACCTTATCATGCAAAAGCTTTTTCCAGTTGAATCCAATTTGATCACTAAGTTGCCATCCAAAGTTTCGTGCATCCTGCAAAGAGGGCACACCAAAAGTAGTGTTAATGTGTATATGAAAAATAAATAAATAAATATAGATTTCCAACAAAAGAAAGCTGTTTTTATTCAAAGTATTATAAATGTCATAGCAAATAACACAAGGAAAACAGATAAATCAACTGAAATAGAAATGGAGGCTGATAACACATTGTCATTTAAATTAAAAATAATAGGAAAACTGAAATGCCGCAAAACAAATAGGTATTTTTTTCCAATTAAGATCATATTTGGCAAAAGAATTTGGAACCTACTATCCGCCAATGAAACTTCACTCAAAATGCTCCCATCAAAATCTTCTAGACGCATAGCATCAGATTTAACCTTGCCTTCACTAATAAAAAAGAAAGGGGAAATTATAGGATTAGCGAGATAAATTGAGATGTCTCATTCCCTGTCAAAACATCTTCATTCAAAAACCCCAGGAAAGTTGATAGGTTCCAAGTTCAAAATGCAAATTGAAACTGATGACAAAGGAGCAGCAACTATTAGGCATATTAAGGGGATCTGAACATTTAATGATATTCTAAAACTTGAGTATTTGAATCCTAAGTGATATGGCCGCCCAACCCGCGATGAGGGACGAAGCGGGAGTCGTGTCCTGCAACCATAGAAGACACAGGAGTCATGTCTGAACAGGGAACCGGGGGCAGGTTTCACCTGTTAAGGCTGAACAGAGTTCAGCAGTAAAGAAAGAGTGACCCAATAGCTTTTTCCCGCACAGTTTTCTCGCAATATTGTAGCTACTACAGTACAGCAGAAAAACATATAACGGGAGACGGGAGTGAGACCGCTAAAACAATCTTGTTTTCCTTTCTTATGCTTTCTTTCCTATTATACTTCATTCTTTTTTAGTTTTTTACTATATATGAGTTGTATAAGGATTTGGAATTCAATTTTTGGTAAGTTTTATTTCAGATTTCTATCAGGACAGCCACCGACGTCCGTTTTCCACTTCAAGGGTTGTATCCGGCTATATCAATCTCCTGAGGTGGTGATTATCTTTTTCATATCCCCTTTCACATCCTCACCTGCCACTCTTGGTCGTTGTATATCATTGCAGCCGGCCACAATAGCCCTCCGTTTGTTGATACCAGCCACCCCAGCTAATCAGTCGCCTCCCACTTCCTTCCAGCTTTACTGCAGCCCAAATTGCACCTCCTCCTGCTGTCCCAGCCTTCCCACTGCACCTTTGCCGCCCAGGACAGCCAGGGAACACCTCCCTCTGGCTATCCCAAAATTATCCACCCCTACTCCTCGCTACCATCACGCAATACAGTCTCCATACTTGTTATCCCTGCATTTCTGCACTTCCTCCTCGCTGCCACTAACATTCCTTGGTTGTCGCCACACACGCCAACCATCTTGATCCACTTGGCCAACCTCTACCACCCCGAGATATGCTTTGGGGTGTTTTCTTGTGTCGTTTTATGTTCGTTATCACTTATTCCTGTTGAAGAATGGTAGTTGAAAGCCTATTTGAATTTTGCAATAATATTTCTATTTTTATTGTTACTTGGGCTAACTGTGGTATCATTTGGTATCAGAGCTAGCCTAACTCTAGTCATATCATAGGGTTTCCTAGCATCTGTTCCTACCCAAGCCACCTCCACTCAAAATTTTCTTTCATATTCCCAAACCATATCAAAATTTGACCTAACCCTAATATCCCCTTACTGATTTTCAAATCAGCAACCCTAAATCATTTTTTACACCCTCTTTCACCTCCCAACCCTAGAACCTAGCCATGTTACCGAGGAGTCAACAACTGGAAACCTGATCGAAGGGAAAGGACATGATGTCCTTTTATGAGGAACTTAAAAAGAGGGGTTCATGAGATTTTTAGAGAAAATATGCATTGGGAAACCAGCCAACGACAACAGAGGTTTGCCACTTTTGAGAAGAGGCAGAATCACCCCTAACCACAATGGTGGCTTGCTAGATCGACGACATTGAGTGAATCCCTCCCATCATGCTTATTCCAAGAACGAAAAACCTATACTTCAAAAATTTGACCTAAAATATCTGAGAAGACATAATTGTGATGTAAATGTGGATTTGTCAAATTTCGATGACCAAATGGATCCGAATGAGGTTATCGATTGGCTCTGGACCTTGGAATGTGTCTTTAAGTGTCAGAACATCTCCCAGAACAGGATTGCGAAATTAATCGCCAACAAGCTAAAGAAGAGTACATTATTTTGGTGAAAAGAACTGAAACGCATACGTCAACGTGAAGGAAAAGATAAGATTGCTATCTAGTTCGAGAAGAAATAGGAGATGCAGCGCCAGTTTCTACTAGCTCACTACATGCCGAATGTTCAAACCCCAACTTCAAAGGTGGGAAGACCACGTCACCGGACGCCCACCACATCTTACAGGCAGAGTTAAACCCAAGGTCTTACACCCAAAGCACACCTAGGGGAACATCCAAGTTGACCCCACCTGAGAAAACATTAGTTCAGAGAGTAAACAAAGGGCACCAATCCACATTCCCAAATTCATCCCAGTCATGAGAAGTTTCAAGTATCATGAATTTAAGCATATTACATATTGAAGCAGATTGCACAACCAGAGGGTCATCTGTTTCACTAAGTCGAGCGTTGTTGAAAAAAGGGGCAATGACACATTTGTCACAGAAGAAGGTGGAAACACAAAGAAAAATGATCATATTCTAATGATGAGGAAGAAAAGCACGTAGCTCCAGCCGAGGACATAAGAGAGACTCCAAAAAATTCCACATTAGCGGTCCAAGATGGTTCTATGTCCGAGGAATCGATATCAAACACCTGCCAACCCCAGATATGTAAAATTTAAAACTTTTAGATCTATAGAGTTCTTTATGAGTTGTCCATACCGAGGGAGGTCCAGTATGTCTAAGATGAGACTCTTTTGTGCCGCTTCTTGAAGCCCATAGGGAGTCATTGGGGAATTAAATTCAAATCAGCAGTATACTCACCAAAAGCTGATCAGATAGGATTGATGAACCACGGTTTTGGATATCGCCTAAATAGCTTTGTGGGAAGGAACATCCTACAGTGGGATCCAGGTTCTTTTCAAAGAAGAAGAAGTGACCTCTTTTGAGTGGTTATACGTCAGTGTGGTCCATTTTGCCATAGATTTCATCTCATAGTTGATTTCTCCTAACATACTTATTTATCAGAAAAACTCAGATGAGTATGAAGAGTGTAAGATGCTAATTACATATTTGATGATGCAAGACTTAGCCCGTGAGGATACTCATCCACGTATGGTGTCAGCTCAGGTTGTGCCAAAAGATGGTGAATATCTATTCTACCAGAATGTGCTTTGGAACGACAACGCCTAATTGGTCTACCTACCACGGTTCTACAATATCTCTGCTACCTTCAACTTGGAAAACTTGACTCCGTTCTACTAGCAGTCAGAAGCTTTGACGAATGAAGCCAAAACTCCCTCGATCCCGAGATATTGATGCGGGAGCTTTATCCTGCACAATTTTCTCACGATACTGTAGCTCTTATGGTATCTTGGGAAAACATATAATAGGAGACGGGAGTCGGGCCGTCGAAACAATCTCATTTCTTTTCTTATGCTTTCTTCCCTATTATATGTCATTCCAGTTTAGTATTTTCCTATATATGTGTTATATTAGAGTTTGGAATTCAGTTTTTGGTGAGTTTTATTTCAGATTTCTGTCAAGACATTTGTTGGCGTCAGTTTTCACCTTCAATTGATGTATCTAATTGATTGTGTGGTGCTCCGTCTATATCTCTCTTCCGAGGTAATGATTATTTTCTTCCAATATCCTTCCACATCCTCCCCCGCCGCTCCCGATCACTATATATCACTGCAGTCGGCCAAAGCAGCCCTCTGTTTGTTGTTTTATGCCTCCCCAGCTTCCCAAGCGCCTCCCACTTCCTTTCAGCATTGTTGCCACACAAACCACAACTCCTCCCTGTTGTCCCAGCCTTCCCACTGCACAGATGCCGCCAAGGACAGCCAGAGAACACCTCCCTCCTGCTATCCCATCGCTATACACCCCCAATTTTCACTATCATCACCTAAGACAACCTCCATACTTGTTGTCCTTGCATTTTTGCACTTCCCCCTCACTGCCACAAACATTCCTTTGTAGTCGCCACCCTCACCGACTATCCCAATACACCTAGCCGACCTTCATCACCCCAAGATATGCTTTAGGGGTGTTTGTTTGTGTCGTTTTATGTTTGTTATCACTTATTTCTTGTTTGAAAAGTCATCAATGTAACCTTATTTGAATTCAACAATAATATTCTATTTTTATTGTGGTTTAGGTTAATTTCAGAAGAAAGAGGTGCTAGTGATTCAAGTTGAACCAATGAGAGAGACTCTAGTTGGATTAGTCGTGATTTTTCTAGAAAATAGTGAGTCCGTGTAGCCGATACATTAAAAAAGGGACAACATTTGTTGACAGAATTGCCAGACATCCTAACCAACAGTTCAACTATTGTGCGGTTGCCAATGAAAGTGGTCCAAAATGTTAGAAAGGACAAGCTTGTGAGCTACTTCTAGAAAGCTATATGAAATTATTCGGATTTTAAACTCAATTCAACCGTATACTCATCAATAGATGGCAAGATAGGAGGGGTGAACCATAGCGTTGAAAATTGATTTTACGATCTTTGTTGGAAAGAACAACTTACAGCAGAATCCAAGTCCTTTAAGAGAAGAAGATGCATCTCCTGAGTGCTTACACTTCAGTGTGGTCCAACTAGCCATAGATTTCATTCCGAAGTTGATTCCTCCAAACATAATTGTTTATCATTTACACTTTGCCAAGTACAAGGAGAGGAAGAGAAAAATTACAAATTTAATGGTTTGATAGTTACTTTATAAATATTTATGTCAGTATGCAATTCTAGCTAGGGTCATGCCAAAAAAGAATGGATATTTATTCCGTCAGGATGTGTTTTGGAAAGATACCACCTATATGATTGACTTACAAGAAAGTTACAT